TGGAAGCCTGTAGACCACATCCAAAGGTGACAGTGAGGACTGGAGCTCCTCCTCTGAAGCAGCAAAGCAAGTTTCCCTCCTTTCCCTTTTTATTCTCCCCAAGCTACACACCTATTGCCTGGTGTCCCCCACCCTCCTCTTCCCTAAATCCATTGTCCAGAACTGTGAGAACTTGAGAGAAATGAGCTCCTGTTTTAAAATGAAAAAATAAAACAGGGCTGGATGTAGCTCAGTGTTGAGGCCGTGGATTCACTCCTCAGTAGCAAACACACACATACACACACACATATACACAAAACATAAGAGATTAGGGCCTGACAAATCTGGCTGGGAAAGTAGGTGTGACCTGTTAATTATAAGATCCCAGGCACATGTGGAGAACAGTTCCCAAAGCCCTACACCTGTACTTCTCTCAAGAACTCCAGCAGTTTGTTTATTTGTTTGTTTTAAAGGGGAAAGGTTTATTTAATTCACAGTTTGTAGCAGTTTCAGTCCCTAATCTGCTGGCTCCAAGGAAGGGTGGCACAGTTCATGGTGGTAGAAGACACGAAAAACAATGAGAGAGAGTGAGAGAGAGAGAGGGGGAAGGAGAGAGGGGGAGAGAGAGGGAGAGACAGAGGGAGAGGGAAAGGGAGAGAGGGAGGTCGGGGGAGAGAGGGAGACAGAGGGAGAAAGAGAGAGAGAAGGAGAGAGGCTGGAGTCCTGCTGCTTCTTGTAATGCCCAAAGACCATCTTTTCTATTCTCCTGTTCCTGCTCAGCAATCAAGATCTCCTCTGCTCTATCTTTATAGTCTGCAGCTCTACTGGAGCTTCTTTTCTGGCCAAACTCACACTGTTTTGAATTATTCTGCTGGGCTCTTTGCTCTTGATTCTTAACATAAATCTGGCTAAAAACACCCAATAGCAGCCACGCCACAGCCTCAACATTCGACTGCCTTGAAATTTCTTCTGCCAGTTTAATTAGTCCACTGCCCTTAATCTCAGTCTCAGGCAAAGTCTCTGGACATGAGCAAAATGAAGACTAACTTTTTGCCGAGCCATAACACACATCATCTGGAGTCCAACAACCAATGCAGTCCTTCTTCCCAGCAGAAACCTCCCGAGCCTGGACCTTACTGGTTTTCTGGTCTTCTGAGCTCTGACCAGAATCTCCCAAACAGAACAGCCTAAGGCGTTCCAGCTCTACTCTTTCAGGTGACATCTTTGAACGTTTCCAAACTCTTCTCACAAGCCATTCCAAGGCTCCTGAACCACATGGTCAGGTATGGTCACAGCAGTGACCCCACTTTTCTGGTGCCAAATTCTGTGTTAGTTACTTTTCTTTCATTGCTGAGACAAAATACCCCACACCCAACATTAAAAGGGGAAAGATTTATTTAGCTCACAGTTTGTAGCAGTTTCAGTTCATAATCCTCTGGCTCCAAGGCAGAGTGGCACTTAGCAGAGGGACAATAGTTCATGGCAGTGGAAGACAGCAGAAACAGTGAGAGAGAGGGAGAGGGAGAGAGAGAGGAAGAGAGAGAGAGAGGGGTCGAGCAGGTTTTTAGTAGGGTGTCCTAGACCTGAGGTCAACCTAAGGCGTGGGATCCCAGCACAGCCTCTCAGGACCCGTATGCAGAGGTTCTCCTAGGATGTGGACAGTATAAAAGGACACGGACGCCAAGAAGAGCTTGCTATCCTGGATTTCCTTACGATAGCCTGTCCTGCTTTCTCCAGGGTGTGCTTTTGTCTTGCTTTTTCCTCTTTTACTTGATCCAGGCTCACTCTTCAGAGCCAGTCTCTATCTCTCTCGCTTTTACTTTTTCAAATAAACTTTGCCTGCTTTTCGCTTGCTTCATTCAATATTTTGTTCCAGATGAGAAGAATTTGGAATCCAACACCAGAAGAAGAGGTGAGCAACCCAGAACCTGGTAACGTTTATCTGGAGAGCCACATTTTTTTTTTTTTTTTTTTTTTTTTGAGACAGAGTCATGCTGTTTAGTTCAGGCTGGCCTTGAACTTGCCACCACACCCAGCTTCTTTGCATGGTTTCTTTCCTCTCTCTCTCTCTCCTTCCCTTTTTTTTTTTTTTTTTGCATGGTTTTGCACTTTATCTCTGAAATCCAATAACTTCAGAAACTACACTGTGTTTTTAAGTCAATTTTCCTTGGGCTTAAGGTACCCATTCAATTTTTATTTTTATTTTATTTCTTTGTCTTTTTTGAGACAGAGTTTCTCTATGCAGTTCAGGCTGGCCTTGAACTCACTTTGTCGCCCAGGCTGGTCTTGAACTTGCAATGATCCTGCTGCCTCAGCCTCCCGAGTGCTGGGATTACAGGCGTGCACCTCCATGCTTGGCCGCATTTCAGCTTCATTTGCTTGTCTTCCTCAACTCTGTTCAGCAGGACTCCCATTTGAGCAGTGTAGATTCTAATCTGGCAAAGTTTGTTAGCGGTTGTCTGGGTTACTCTCTTGTCACTGAAGCACACACAAGTTAAAGAGGGAGTGGTTTATTTTGGCTCATAGTTTGCAGGGGTTTCAGCCTACAGTTGTGGGCTCCAAGGCAGGGTGGCATGGCAGAGGAGAAGCAGTTCATGGAGTGGTGATGGGAAGCAGAGAGGTCAAGAGAGAAGGAGACAGACCCTTCCAGCCAGGCCCCAGGGACCCCTCTTCCACTAAGCTTCGCTTCCCAACACCATACCCCACCATACACCCAACAGTGGACTGACCCACAGATGAGTATCAGGCCCCTACAACCCAGCCACCTCCCAGAGCCCCTGCCTATGAGCACATCCCCACATGAGACTTTGGAAATCTTGCTTGAAACCCTAACAGCAGCCTTTTTTAGAATGCCATCCCACAGAGCATTACGTTAGAGTTCCAGCACATGAATTTTGGAGGACACAAAGCATTTGCTACTTGTCAACTGTCTCTCTTGCCTTTTTCGTTTTTTTTTGTTTGTTTGTTTTTTGTTTTTTTGTTTTTTTGTTTTTCTCCGGTACCAGGAACCGAACTCACGACGTTGCGCTTGCCAGGCAGGCGCTTTGCCGCTGAGCTAAATCCCCAGCCCCTCTCTTGCCTTTTTCATTGTGGTGATCGGATATGCAGTCTGTCTCCCTTCCCAGGGCTGGCTTGAGGGGTGGAGGGTTACCCTGAATCCACAGTCCAGGTTTATTGGAAAAATCAGCCTAATCCACACCAGAACAAAACTGGTAAGTCTTGAATTTCCTTTTTGAAAAATATATTCATTAGTAGAAACTCTTCAAGCTGCCCCAGAAAACTGTTGTTATTCTAAGACACTGTATGTGCTTAAAAATGTTCTTACAGCTGGGCTTGGTGGCGTACTCCCAGCACAATGGAGATTGAGGCAGGAGCATTGCTGTGAGTTCAAGGGGAGCCTGGGCTACATAGTGAGTGCAAGGCCAGCTTGCACTGCATAGTGAGACCCTATCTCAAACAAACAAACAAATAAACAAACAAGACCCCCCAGCCCCCCACAAAAACAAGCAAAAAACGAAACAACAAAAACCAAAAAGAGTATTTAGATTAGTAATTCTTTCTCCATGGGAAGCTTTTCAGTGCTTGATGGTATGCCAGTACTCTTTCACAACTCAGTAAGGACAGTGACCATAGTCAGATAAAATATCCCACTTAGGCTTATGAATATTTAAACAGATATTCCACTTTTTTTATCCGACACAGTTAACACATGGAAGATTTTTAAAAGTAGAATACATTTCAGTTGAAAAATTAGTCATAGGGGCTGAGGATTTAGCTCAGTGACACAGTGCTTGCCCAGCAAGCACAAGGTCGTGAGTTCGATCCCCGGTACTGGGGAAAAAAAGAAAAAAAAGAAAAATTGTCATAGTAGGAAAAAGGCCCTCTAACTTCCTGATGTGTATTCTAAAGACACATTTGCAGAAGGTCACTGCTGTGCAGCGATAAAAATACCTAGTGCCAGGGCTAGAGCTCAGGCCAGCGATGTATTTGCTCCCCAAATACATCAGGAAGTGGCACAGTGCATGCCTGGCAAGCACAAGGTCCTGAGTTCAATTCCAGTACTAAAAAACAAAACAAAACACCTGGTGTCTGCCATAAGTAAAAAGCAGTCTAATATAATAGATATTTCTGTAGAGAAACATGCAAATAAGCCCTGTTTGCTTCTCCTTTCAAGGTTCAATATTAGGGCTGGAACTCTGTTTTCAATTCAATGACGCATCCTCCTCAGGATCCAAAAAAAAAATAAAAATGCTGTGGATGGAATGACACTTGGAGAAGGCATCCTCTTTTTATTTTATTACTTTTTTAAAAAATATGTTTGTAATGTTTACATTAATTTACTTGTGTTTTTTTTGTGGTTTTTTTTTTTTTGAGTCAGGGTCTCCATGTGTAGTTCAGGCTGGCTTTGAACTCATGGTGGTCCTGCCTCAGCCTCCCGAGTGCTGGGATTACAGGCATTTGCCACCACGCTAGGCTTATTTTATTTCTTAAGAGTTTCTTAAGAGTAATATTTTTTAAGAGTAATATTCGCCTCATATCACTTATGGTCACAGTGACACCCTGCACAGAGTGACACCCTGCACAACGCACTGATCACGCCCATCATTTACTTTCCAGATAACAGCATAAGGAATCCTGCATTACTGGCAAGGCTTCAAGGGTACAAAAGCGCCCCTTGAAGGTTGCCTGGGTAGGGTCGGGGAACATAGCTCAGTGGAGGAAGGCTGCATAGCCCGTGCAAGGCGTTGGGTTCCGTCCGCCGGACCTACGAGGGTGAAGTACACAGGCCAGCGGGGAGCGGTGGTGTTTGCCTATAATCCCGGCAGTGGGGAATTTGGGAGGCTGAGGCGGAGGATCCGTTGAGTCCAGGAGTGAGAGGCCAGCCTGGGAAACATAATGAGATCCAATTCCAGTAGCCTGCTTTTTAGCTGGAAGCCTTTCAATCTCCTCCCCCCGCCGCAATAAAGGGGATTAAACGTAGGGTCTTTCCATTAAGCAACATCACCAGCCCTTTTTAAATTTTTTATCTTGAAGTAGGGTCTCGCTAAATCAGTAAATTGCCCAGGGTGGGCTTGAATTTGCAGTCTTCACCCTCGAAGGGTCAGGGCGCAGACAGGACCGGACGCAGGACCCGCTCCGGGGCGGAGCACTTTAGGTCTGGAGTCAGAGGCATCTCTCCGCCCGCGACGAAGGCAGGGCGCTAGGTGCTCGGCTCTCGATTGCTCGCACCTGGCGCGGCTGGGGCGCGGGAGCTCTGCGCTCGAGGGGTCGCGCCTGGCGGCGTCTGCGCATGCTCAACGACCTCGGCAGGCGGTGGCGCGGGATGTCGCGGGCCTCCAAGGTGGCGCTGGGCCTCTCCGTGTTGCTCACCGCGGCCACGGTGGCCGGCGTGCACCTCAGGCAGCGGCAGGACCGGCAGGTCGGTGGCGCGTGACTGCCTATTTCGGGCCTGCGCGCGTCGGGCCTGGGCCTGGGGTCCCCTCGGTCCCGCCCGGGCCCGGAGCGCGCTCTCGGGGTTCGGTCCCGTGGGAAGTAGAGCGGGGGTTCTGGGGTGCGTTGTTGCAGGGTCCCCGCCTCTAGTCCCCGGGCCGCTGATCGCGACCCTCGTTGCGGCCGGGGTCCTTGGCCGAGGTCGCTGTCACCTCCTGCTGGGCGGGCAGTTCACCGTGCACACTGCAGGTTGTACACGGGACCGAGATACCGTCCCACGTTTTCTTTGTGGCTCTTGCATCTGTGGAAATGTCCTTAGCGTGGCCATCAGCTGCTGGCCCTGTGGCCCGAGTCGCGTTTTCCCCGCGTCAGCTGGCCTGCAGGCCCCGGGCGGCGCGGGGCAGCCTGGGAGTCGAGACCGGGAAACGGCTGCTCCGCGCCCGCAGCCTCGGCGGCGGTGGCGCTGCGAGCGGGGCGTCGTTAAACCGCGAGGCGACGCCTGCTCAGGTGTTGGGGTTGAACCTGGTTTGCGGAAGCGGGAGAGTAATAAACGGGAGGAGTCGAGAGCGGGCGGAGATGGGGGATTTGCGGTTATCAAGAGCAAGGGGTGAGAGATTTGAGGGGGTTCCCAGGGGGCAGTTTTGGGACTAGAGGCAGAGTCCCTGTGTAAAAGGAAGAGAAGGTCCTGAACCCCAGGAAACTTGAGGGAGTAGAGGGCGGATGTCAGCGCAGACCTGAGGTCGGTGAGGCCAGTGAATTTGGGAGGGGTAGGTTGTAGCTCTGTGGAAAGCTCTGGCTACAAATCCTGAGTTCCTGGGAAGTTTGTAGGTGTGACTGAGGCTCGGGCCCCCAGTTAAACCAGAACGGTTTGAGTGGGGGGGCTCGTTTAGGTCTGTACCCACTTCCACCCAGAGAACGCCGACGCAGCCAGGGTTGAGAACCACGGTGTCAGAGCCACGGTGTTGTTCGGCGATTGGAAAAGAGCAAGAGATTGGACAGGGTCACTGATGTGTGTTACCTGCAGAGCTTCCTTCGGGACTTTCTTTCCAGCAAGGGAAAGGGTAGAACGAGATTGGCACCGCGAGCGTGTCCAGAGGTTCAGAAGGGGGCGAGAAATCACTTAATGACCATTGTTTCCTGACTGTGACAGCCACACACCAGGCACAGCGTTAAGCTCTCTGTGCACATCCCCTTTAACCCATCCAACCCCAAAGAAACCAAGTATAGATGGTCCCCAGCTTAGGGTGGTTTGCCACGCACACAAAATAAAGAAAATAGATATAAAAACTTTTAAAACCATACATACTCAGGCCCCACCCCCATTAATTCTGCCTCCTGAGGCTGTTGTTAAAAGCTTTATTTGTGAGCTGTCAAAGATAACATGTCAGCCCTCCCTTAGGACTGAATTGATGTTTTGAGGTATCAGGCTAGTGTTCTGGACCTTGGTCTTTTTAGTACCTATCAAGATAACTTGGTGGGCCTTATTTTCCTTCTGGTAGTGGTAGTCTTTTTTTTTTTTTCCTGATGTTCTTTCTGTTATATAACTGATCAGTGAGTTTTGTATAATGTGTGTGTGTGTGTGTGTATGTGTGTGTATGTGTGTGTGTAAGGCAGGGTCTTGCTATGTATGTAATTCAGCCAGGCCTTAAACTCACTTTGTAGTCCCAGTGGCCTGGAACTCAGTCATCCTCCTGCCTTAGTCACCCAAGTGCTGGGAATACAGGTGTTTGCCACCACATCTGGTTTGTTTTCTGGCTTATTTTCTTGTATTCTTAACAGTTTGTTAAGATTTCAGTAATGTTTTCCCTCCCACACACTTTTTTTTGTTTTTATTTTGCACACTGGGGATGGAACTGAAGGCCTTCATACTGAGCTACATCCAAAGCCCTTTTTATTTTTTTTTTGTTTTTTGTTTATTTGTACAGTTTAGATATACGTACTGATCACATTCATCATAAATAAATTGTACCCATACATGATCTATTCTGGTTTCCCCAACCCTTTATAGCTTGAAACAGTTCTGCTAAATCACTAAATTGTTCAAGCTATGCTCAAACTTGTGACTTCCCTGCCTCAGCCTCCTCAGCTGGGATTACAGGCATGCACCACATACTCAGAGTTGATGTTGTTTATTCATCTAGGATAATTGCTAACAGGAAAATAGTTCACAGTGTTACGGCAGTATTTTTACCCCATCTCCACCCGGTGCGCTCCCACCACACACAGCAGTGTGGGTGGAAACCAATGCCTTTGCTTTATCCCTGTTTGCTCTTTTTGTCTTGTCTTTTTTTTTTTTTTTTTTTTTTGGTACCGGGAATTGAACTCAGGACCTTGCTCTTGCCAGGCAGGCATTTGTGCTGCTGAGCTATATGCCTGACCCCTATATCCCTGTTCGTTAGGGACAGGGTTTCACCAAGTTGCTGTGGCAGGACTCAAACTTTTGATCCTCCTGCCTCACCCTCCCAAAGTATTGAGATTGCAGGTGTGTACCACAAATTAAAATTTTAAAAATTCAGTGTAGTGCCAGTTTTTTCCTTTTTCTTATTTCCTGTTATGTTTTCTGTACTCCATGTTCAGAAATTTCTTAAGATGTGCTAAGGAGCCATCTCAGCGATAACATTATAGCACACTACCACATTTGCCTTCTGGTTTCTTTATTACGTTCCACATTTGGACAGAGAGTTGAAATAGTAATTGGGTATTTGGAATCTGAGTGTCTGAAGTGTATTTTGGTAACACTGGTATTTGGACTTGAATGGCACAGGATGGGAACCACCTGCTCCGGGCGTTACTGAAATCTGTTTCTTACGCTTTTAGAGGCTTCGTGACGGAGTGATCCGAGACATTGAGAGGCAAAACCGAAAAAAAGAAAACATTCGTCTTTTGGGCGAACAGATTATTTTGACTGAGCAACTTGAAGCAGAAAGAGAGAAGATATTGTTGGAAAAAGGATCTCAGAAAACGTGATTTCAGTGAATGTGAACTATTTTGGGGACAGACGGCTCCAAGAGAGCGAGTGTGTGTGTTGGTGAAGAAGAGCTTGATGAAACCTTTGCCCTTTTTTCCTCAGTCCTTTTAGCCTTGACGGAATGAAGGACAGTGGACCCTGTATTCTTCGGCTCTGCTTTAAGAACCCCTATGTGTGAGCAAGGAGGCCTCAGGCAGCTGCTGTGTGCTGACGCCTGTCTGCAGGGCTGGTAGGAGTCTCCCAAGCTGCTGTCCAGAGCTGGGTGTGGGCACGGGCGCTTCTGCCCAGGAGCAATGGAGAGCAGCGTCCACCTGAGTGGCCTGCTGAGCCGCCACGATGACGAGGCCACCAGGACGTCCACCTCCGAGGGGCTGGAGGAGGGTGAGGTGGAGGGTGAGACCCTCCTCATCGTGGAGTCGGAAGACCAGGCCTCGGTGGACTTATCTCATGACCAGAGTGGGGACTCCCTCAACAGCGACGAGGGCGACGTGTCATGGCTGGAGGAGCAGCTGTCCTACTTCTGTGACAAGTGCCAAAAATGGATACCAGCCAGTAAGGAGCTTCTCATTCCTTTGATCTGTCAATCCCTGGGTGAAGGTTTGCTCTTCCAGCCCATGAAGGAAACATGAGTGTCCAGTAGACCTAAATAAATTATTTATTATCAATTTAATTGATCAAATTCAAGCTTCTATAAAATAGACACATTTGTACTGATAAAAATTACTGTCAATCTCTATCCCATTGTTAAATTAACATTTCTGATGGTAACCCAATAAAATTTAGAAAATTGGAAATCCTGTGTTAACTTAAGGAATTAACCACGTTTTTCTTAGCAAGATTATGTTATGGGTTGGGGATCGAGTTGTAGTCCCGGTGTGCTCCATCTGGCTTGTGTGGGAAATGCCACGGTCTGCTGAGCTGGGGTTGGGATTCACCTGAAGGTGTTGAAACCCTGTCTGGGGCCCAGTCTTGCTTCCCACTCGTGGTCTCCCTTACCTGGTGAGAAGAGACAGTGGTTGTGGAGTGTACAGCTGCCCCTGCCCAGCCCTTGAGCTTGCTTTGCCAGCTGTCACATGATTGGTAGCAGATCAGGCTTTCCCTGGGCTAGAGTGGCTATGGGAGTGCTTTGTGCAGGAGGATTCCTACATGAAAATAGAGCTATATAAAATTGTGAAGTTGGCCATTTTATGCAGGCATTTTTGATAAAATGTGTTCAACTATTCAGATTAATACAAAGAGTAACATTTTTGGCTGGGCATAGTGGAGCACACCTGTAATCCCAGGTGAGGCAGGAGGATTGCCATGAGTTCAAGGCCAGCCTGAACTACATAGTGAGACCCTGTCTCAAAAAAAGGAAAGCGTAACGTTTTTCCTAGAAAACCCAGAGTGTACTGTTTAGCTGCTTGTTTCTAGGTTGTCTGAGCCTGACTCACTGACGGGTTCTGCCCATATGTCTCAGTGGCTGTCCCTCTGTCCTCCCAGGGTTAGCGTTAAACTGCCCTGCGTGGCCCAGTGCCTGCTGACTGCTGTCCCCACACAGACACAAAGCCTTGTGAAGGACAGGTGACGGGCCTGCTCCATAGGAGTTCTCTCAGCCTGGGCCTCTGCTCACTTGTGTCCTCCTTGAAGCCACAACTCCGAGGCACCCCTGGCCAGCCTGCAGCCCTCGTACCCCTGCTGCCTGCTGATTGCCATTCTCTTAGGCCCCATCTTTCTCCTCCCATCTCCTGTGGGGTGGGCACCCTCCTTCTAGGCCCTCTCTCTGCCCCTTGCGCTTCTGGCCCCTGCCATGCCCGCCTTAGACCCATCTGATTCTGTCCCGGTGGCCTGAGGTACCATCAGGGCAGAACCACGGTCTGAGTGGTTCCAGAGAGGACGGTGCGGTGTGGCTCGTTTTCTCCTGTGCAGCCCTCAGATTTTAAGTCGTGGCCCCTGCAGCCCAGCTGCTGGCCCGCGTGAGGATGCGGCAGCGGGGACACCCTGTTCTGCAGGCCTGGCCTTGGGAGAGCCTTGGCCTCTGTGCAAAGGGGAACTTGGGCATGGGCGCTGGGCAGCCCAGCTGAGCCGAGCGGCGTTTGGGTGGCAGCCGCTCTCGAGCCGCCTGTGATGTGACTTCTGTTTTTCTCCTAGGTCAGCTGAGGGAACAGCTCAGTTACCTTAAGGGCGATAACTTTTTCAGGTTCACTTGTTCTGACTGCTCTGCAGATGGCAAGGAGCAGTACGAGCGGCTGAAGCTGACGTGGCAGCAGGTGAGTAGAGGGGTTCAGGTTGTGCCCCAGAGCTTTGCAGTGAGGACCCTGTGGGGAGCTTTTGGATTGTTGGTTTGTTTGAGCCAAAGTCTCATTATGTAGTTTAGGGTGGTTATGAACTATGTAGCCCAAGCTGGCTTCAAACTTGAGGTTATAATTATCTTCCTGCCTCTGCCTCCCGAGTGCTGGGATTACAGGAGTATGTACACCACCATGCCCGCCAATTTTGGGTTGTCGTGAGGGGCCCTTTTATTTGTTTTGTTTTTTTGAGAAATAAACCAGGCCTGCTTTGAGCTCACTAGCTAACCCAGGGTGGTGTTTTAACTTGCAGGGATCTCCTGCCTCAGCTTCCTGAGTGCTGGGATTACAGGTGTGTGCCACCACGCCTGGCTGGGTACTTTTTATTTCACAGTGAAAAGAGAATATGGAATATTCAGAGATGGAAGTTTTTGGAAAAAGTACTCGCTGCTAACCTAGTGAATTGGGTTTGAGATTCTTGAAAATCTCATATGGTTTATTAATATGCAATGCCAAGTGGTGATTTTATTTTTTTTATTTTATTTTTTTTGTTTTTTGGTTTTTCTCCGGTACCGGGAACCGAACTCACGACCTTGCGCTTGCCAGGCAGGCGCTTTTGCCGCTGAGCTAAATCCCCAGCCCCCCAAGTGGTGATTTTAATTAATTAGTTAATTAACTTTCGCCATGTTGGAGTTCGAACTCAGGACTTTTACCGTGAGCTACATTCTTAGCCGTATTTTTTCTTTTTAATTGCCCATGCCAGATTTGAGGATTTGAATTATGTGATCTTCCTGCCTCAGCCTCCCAGGTGTACACCACCATGGCCAGCAGAGTTCTCATTTTATTAGAAAATGCGGCTCACATGTTTTGGCAGCCACTTCAGAACAATAAAACCACACGATGCCACACAGGAACTAGATGTGGAGGAAGTCTGTGCACAGATTGTGAGAGCCTCTATAGCTCAGGCTTCTTTGGGCTCAGATGTTTGAGTATTTTTCCTTGGAGAGAATACTTATGTCCACTCTTAGCTGTCTCTAGTGCCAACAGGAGTCTAAACCAACTATACTCTGAGCGATAGCTTTCCACTGACTTCTAGGTTGTATTAATATTTTTGGCTTTGTTTTTATATCAGTATTTATATATAAGCTGGGTGTGGTGGCCTACACCTGTAATCCCCGCACTGGGGAGGCAGAGGCAGGTGGATCTCTGTGAGTTCAAGGCCAGCCTGGGCTATATAATGAGATCCTGCCTCAAAAAATACTCCCCCTCAAAAATCTAAGCTTTAAGTTCTGAAAAAGAAGAACTATACATGATTCACTTGGTTTTTATGGGGATCAAGCCCAGCCCTTGCTCATGCTGGTTCACACCCTGTCTGGGAGACCCCCCTACCCTGGGGAAGCTTCAGGCCCGTCCTCAGGCAGCTGCAGCTAGGCACCTTTTAGAGAACAGGCGCACGTGGTCATTACCCATATCGCATTGTGCTGTGAAGAACATAAACAGTTAAGAGAAAGGTTTTAGGTTATGCTGTTCCGGCCATCCTATGGTGTTCTTTATAAATTGTAGTGGCTATAGCAGCTCCTACTATTATCCTAATTATCATGCTTTGTTCAGCCGCTCATGAAATCTGTCAGTGATGAACATAGGAAATCTTTTTTGCTTTGCCAAGAAAATGTAGGTAGAGCCAGAGTGTAGGTGCACACCTATAATCCTGGCATTCTGGGAGGCTGAGGCAGGAGGATCACCTTGAGTTCAAGGCTAGCCTAAACTATACATCGAGACCCTCTCTCTCTAAAAAAAAAAAAAAATAGACCGAGCAATGACCTTTTCTTTAAATTGTGGTGTGGTACACATGAGCTGCGTCATTACTCAGTGTGCAGTTGGGCGGCGTTCTGTACATTCATGATGTGCTTGACCACCACTGTCCAACTTTGGACTTCTCTGTCCCTAGCTCAGCTTCACCTACACTGTGCTGTGTTCATTGGCCCATGCAGACCTGATGCAAACATGAGTGGTGCTTTTGAGAACTCTGTTCCAGGGGCTGCTCCTGTTGCTGAGTTAAGGTTGGCGAATGAACCTGTGCGGTGTAGACACGGCCCTTCACAGAGGGTCACTGGGGATAGAATGCTGGTGACACAGACGGAAGGACATTAATTGCAGTTTAGCAGACTTTCAAAGCTGCAGGGTAAGCTGGGTGTGGTGGTGCACATCTGTAATCCCAGTACTCCAGAGGCTGAGGCAGGAGGTTCCCTTCCCAAGTCCAAGCCAAGCAGGGCCAAAAAAGGAAACCAAAGCCAACCCGAAACGCAAAACCAAAACCTGGCCCAAAAAAAAAAAAAAAAAAAAAAAAAAAGCCTCAGCGTACTCCTTGAAAGAAGAGTTTTTAAAGAATTATCTTCTAAGCTGGGCATGGTGGTGCATACCTGTGATCCCAGTATCAAGAGGCTGAGGCAGGAGGGTCACAAGTTCAAATCCAGTTTAGATAACTTGCCAACTTAGTGAAACCCCCGTCTCAGGATAAAAATTTAAAAAGGCCTGGGGTCATAGCTCAGTGCAAAGGCTCTAGCTTCAGTCCCAGTACCCAAACCAACAAAACCCAAAATAGTACATAAATACAGATGGAAAGAAATGTAGGAAAGAATAATTACTGAACTGCCAAAAGCTGTTACTCTTCTTTTTTCTTGCTTGCTGCTTGTACCTTATTTCCTGCTAAGTCACTTAATTACCCAGGCTAGGCTCAAACCCAGTCTCTTGCCACAGCCTCCCAGGGTGCTGGGATTACAGGTGTGCACCGCCACACCCAGCAAAAGTCACTTCTTGATGGTGGATGTCAAGTGATTTTTACTTCCTCCTTTGCTCTTTTTCTGTTTTTAGAGTCTTTCACAAGGAGGATGTGTTATTTCTATTTCTGGAGCTCACCTCTCCGTTTAGGGCCAGGACCCTTCCTTTAAAGAGTAGCAGTGCTGGCCCAGGTTGGGAGTTGGAGCCCTGAGCATGGTGCAAGGGGCTGAGCAGCACGGCCTTTCATCCCGTGTGTGTGGGTGAATCTCAGAACCCTGAGCAGAGGGTGGGCAGCGTCGTCAGAGAGGGTGCGGGTTGGGTGGGCATCTGTTCCATAGGCGCGCATGATGTCTGTGTGTGTGTGTGTTGTGACGATGCTCGTGTCTACCTTCTGTCCTAATGTCCTGCAGCCACATAGCAGGTGACAGAGGGAGGAACTGCACGGAGCTGAGCGAGGGGTGCCGGCTCACGAGTACCGCAGGGGAAGAGCTGTGCACCCAGACACCGCTGGTCCCTGGCTTCACTGTGCCTGTGGGACTTGAAGACAGGGCAGAGGCACGCCGTGTCCCAGATCTAAGTCCTTGGGCTGTGTCTCCCTGCCCTGTCCTGTCTGTGTTGCAGGTCGTCATGTTGGCCATGTACAACTTGTCCCTGGAAGGCAGTGGGCGGCAGGGCTACTTCCGGTGGAAAGAGGACATCTGTGCCTTCATCGAGAAGCACTGGGCCTTCCTGCTGGGGAGCAGGTAGCGTGGTCTGCAGAGCTGACTCAGCTGGCAGAGAGTGGGCTCTGGGGCTGCTGGAGATTTGGGCTTTCCTTGAGAAAATCACAAAGAATTTTGAGTTTCAGGTTTTTTGTTTTTACTTTTTTTTTTGTTTGTTTTTGTTTTTTATGTTGAGAGGGTCTCACTATGTAGCCCAGGCTGGCCTCAAACTTGAAGTGATCCTCCTGCCTCAGCCTCCTGAGTGCTGGGATTACAGGCACGTGCCACCACACCCACCCACATGATTGTTTTCAAGAGAGCCTAAGAGTGTTAAAAATTGGGAAGGAGTGTGATTAAGTGCGACTGCCCCGACAGCCCAAGGGGCAGGTGGGTAAGTGATTCATCTGAAGAAACAGAATTGTGTCCTTTGAAAGTCAGTCACTTAACAGGAGGTCAGAGGAGAAAAGGTAATGGGTGCTGCTGACAGCAGCCTTTTAGACTGCTCTCGACTCATGGAATCTAGTAGTTCTTACTATCTCTGGAAGGTCTCTGTCTGTCTGTCTTCTGTTTTCCCCCCAGTCTAGAGGACCCAAACCAGAGCCCTGGGCCTGCCAGGCTACTCTCTACCCTAGCCCTACTCCCCTTCTTTTGTCTGAGACAAGGTCTTGAGTTGTTTGGCTGGGATTTTTTTTTTGGTACTGGGAACGAACTCAGGACCTTTCGCCAGGCAGGCAGGCACTGTGCTGCTGAGCTATATCCTGGGCACAGGCCAGTTTTTAATTTGCAGTCCTACTTAGTGTGGTGCTGCAGGCCTGTAATCCCACCACCAGGGAGGCGGAGGCAGGAGGAGCACTGTGAGTCTGAGGCCAGCCTGGCTCCAAACAGCAAACCAAAACCAAAACTCCAGTGCCCAGTCGTGGAGTTGGGCTTCTAGTTTGCTGTTTCTTTTTCTTTTTTTTTTTTTTTTCGGTTTTTGGTTTTTCTCCGGTACCGGAACCGAACTCACAACGTTGCGCATGCCAGGCAGGCGCTTTTGCCGCTGAGCTAAATCCCCAGCCCCAAGTTTGCTGTTTCTTGAGAGCTGTACTTCCTGGGTATGGAGGTGGGGGTGGGAGGGAAAATACCCCCTCGCCCCCCCCCCCAGGAAAAACGAGCCCCAGGCCTCCCCCTTGAAGGGAGGCAGGGTAGCCAGAGGCAGCAGATGTGCGTTGCCCGAATTACTTCCACCCCCTGTGTGGTAAGTTCTGCTACCCTGCTTCTGCAGATGAAGAAACTGAGGCAGAGCCAGGATTCGGAGCCAGGCAGACCCCAGGCCTCTCTTGTGCCCCTTTCGCTGCATCCCTTTGTGCACAGGGTTGAGTCAGGGAGGGCACCGCGCCCCGCGTGTGTCCCCGCAGAGGTGGATTGAGCGTCAACCGCTTCTCCCCGGCTCCAGGAAGAAGACCTCCACCTGGTGGAGCACCGTGGCTGGCTGCCTGAGTGTGGGGAGCCCCATGTACTTCCGCTCGGGGGCGCAGGAGTTCGGGGAGCCAGGCTGGTGGAGACTGGTGCACAATAAGCCGCCCACCCTGAAGCCCGAGGGCGAGAAGCTGTCGGGCTCCTCGCTGAAGGCCAGAGGTAGTGTGGGGTGCGGCGCGAGGGTGCTGGGCAGGCGGGTTGGGGGCTCGGGCCTGCCCTCCTGGAATCGGTCCCCGTGACAGTGGCAATGTCCCGGTGACGTTTGGCCTGCATCCTGTCCTAAGTAGTAAGTGGAACACGTTTGTCATTTCCTAATCAAGTTACCAGTTTTATAAATTTCCTTTGGAATCTCAAAGGTTCAACATTTTCCTTATTTTTTTTGGTACTGGGAATTGAACTCAGGGCCTTGCACTTGACAGGCAGGTGCTGTGCTGCTGAGCTACATCCCTGGCCCCACATTTTCAATCTGAGTTTTCACAAAAAAATTTATTAAGAAAAAAATTTATTTTGGAAGTTTTATTTTATTATTATTCTTTTTGAGACAAGATCTCACTATGCAGTTCAGGGGTGGCCTTCAGTTCACTATGTAGTCCAAGCTGGCCTCAAACTCGAGGCAATCCTCTTGCCTCAGCCTCACAAATGTTGGCATTACAGGTGTGTGCCACCACGCCTGGCTCTATTATGGAAATTTTAAAACATGCAGAGGCAAAGGAGAATGATGTAATGAGTTCCTGTGTGTGGTCCCCTCCCTTCAGCAGCTACCCCGGCCATCTCACTTGTCTACATTCTTGGTTCTACCCCTAGCCTGGCACTGTTCCTCACCCTCAGATTAGTACGAGTCTGTAAACTGATCAGACTGGCCTTGAACTTGCAGTCTTCCTGCCTCAGCCGCCTCAGTAGCTAGGATTACAGGTCTAGTTATTTTTTAAAGTATTTTTCAGCAGTCCTCTCCTCCCTTCCTCTCCCCTCCCCTCCCCTCCCCTCCTGGAGACAGCATGCAGTTCAGGCTGGCCTTGAGCTCACTTTGTAGGCACAACTGGTCTTGAACTCAGAACAATACTCCTGCCTCATCTTCCCAAGTGCTGGGATTACAGGTGTGTGCCACCACACCCGACCTTTCAGTAGTTTTCTAAGTGATAGGATTTTTCTTTCTTCCTTTCTTTGGCCTTTTTGAGACAGGGTCTTGCTATGCAGTTCAGGCTAGCCTTGAGCTCACTTTGTAGCCCAGGCTAGTCTCAAACTTGAAGTGATCCTCCTGCCTCAGCCTCCTGAGTGCTGGGATTACAGGTATGTGCTACCATGCCCGGCCATAATGCTGTTTTCTTGCAGCCCAACCATAATGCTGTTTTACATTCTTAAAAACTTAGCAGTAAACGTGCTGTCATACACTGATCTGATGTTTTTTCTATAACGTCTTCAGTAAGCCGGACAGTTGAGGTGGTACATGCCTATAATCCCACCTACCCGGGCAGCCGAGACTGGAGGATCAAAAGTTCAAGTCTCGCCTAGGCAACTTGTCTAAGCCTGCCTCACCCCCAAAGCGCTGGGAGCACAGACATACACACTGGCCCTGGGGAACTTTTAGATTTTAAAAATATGTAACTGGAAAAATTCAAAAACAGTATTGAAAAACAGGAAGTTTGAAAGTTCCTGCTCCTGTTTCCTTCTGCAGGTTACTCTGCAGAAGGGTGGCCATTGCCTTTGTGAAGGCTTTTAGCGATGATGTTTGCATTTGAAGTGTGGTTTTGTTTTTTTTTAAAGCATTAAAACCTTTTAATATTCATTCCCCGTTTCCCCCCATATACCTGTTCCTCCTCCCATTCTGATCCATCTGGACTTGCCCTACTTTATTTCATTGTATGGCTGCTTGGTAATATAGTAAATGATTCCCTATTAATGGCCACTTCGTTTATGTCCTTTTCTGTTATTTTAAGCAGTGCTAGAATTGTTTACACTTGTGTGCATGTGCAAATTGTGGTAAGTTTCTGGAAGCAATGTCCATATCCAATGGAGTATTTTGTTTTTGTTTTTGTTTTTGTTTTTGTTTTTGTTTTTTCTCCGGTACCGGGAACCAAACTCACGGCCTTGCGCTTGCCAGGCAGGCACTTTGCTGCTGAGCTGAATCCCCAGCCCCCCAATGGAGTATCTATTCAAAGTTTTTATTGTTTGTGCCAAGTTACCCTTCTGAAAGCTGTAATAAAAGTTACACCATACTAAAAAGTCATGAGAATGCCCGTTTCCCCATACCCTTACTTAGCATTGTCAGACTTTGGCTTTCTGTTTTTTATATTTTGAGATGGGAGCTTGCTATGTAGCCCAGGCTGGTCCTGAACTCACAGACCTGCCCGGGGCTGGGTTATAGGCCTGCACCACCACACCGGCCAGTATGAAACTTCTCATTTTACCAACCCCAGTAGGTAAAAAATAGCAGTATTTAGTTGTTTAAATTTGCCTTATAACTTTTTTCTTAAGAGCTGCCTAAGTCTTTTAGTTTAGGGTGCTCACTGGGCATCTCTCTGTACGGAACCCTGTATGGGTGCACAGTAGCACATCGTGAAAGACCTGAGGGTAGAATGGCTATCTCAGAAGTTGCACCGCTGTGCTCTTTGGCAGCCTCGAAGCCCACGCTAGACCCCATCATCACTGTGGAGGGCCTCCGGAAGCGGGCCGGCCGGAACCCAGTGGAGTCGGCCATGGAGCTCAAGGAGAAGCGGTCCCGCACGCAGGAGGCCAAGGACATCCGGCGGGCCCAGAAGGAGGCGGCCGGCTTTCTGGACCGCAGCCCCGCGTCCACACCCGTCAAGTTTGCGAGCCGGGCCCGCCGGCCAGACGTGGTCCTGGAGCGGGGCGAGGTGATTGATTTTGCATCGCTAAGCTCCTCGGACCGCACGCCACTGACCAGCCCCTCACCGTCACCCTCACTAGACTTCTCCGCGCCTGGGACACCAGCGTCGCACTCGGCCACACCGAGCCTGCTGTCGGAGGCCGACCTGATCCCTGACGCCATGCCCCCGCAGGCGCTGTTTCATGGTAAGGGGGACGTGGCCAGCCCTTCCAGGGCGGGGGGTCAGTAGGCCTCAGTGACACTGCCTGTGCCCTGTGCAGATGACGACGAGCTGGATGGTGACGGCGACATTGATCCGGGAGTGGAGGACCCACCGCCATCCCTGGGGCCCATGGCTTTGGGCCCAGGGTCTGGAGGCAGGAAGAAGGTTAGAGCCCCAGAGCACATCAAGCAGGAGGTGGACAGCGAGGAGGAGAAGCCGGACAGGGCAGATCTGGACAGTGAGGACACAGACTCCAGCACGTCCCTGCAGACCCGGGCACGGGACAAACGGAGGCCGCCCCTGCAGAAGGACACACGGCCACAGGGTCCCCGGTATGTGCCCGCCAGCATCTACGAGGAGAAACTGCTTCTGCGCAGGCTGGAGGCCTGTCCTGGCGCCGTGGCCATGACGCCCGAGGCGCGCAGGCTGAAGCGCAAGCTAATCGTCAGGCAGGCCAAGAGGGACCGGGGGCTGCCTCTCTTCGACCTGGACCAGGTGGTTAACGCTGCCCTTCTGCTTGTTGATGGGATCTATGGAGCCAAAGAAGGGGGGCTGTCCCGGCTCCCGGCTGGACAGGCCACCTACCGGACCACCTGCCAGGACTTCAGAATCCTTGACCGCTACCAGGTGAGCGAGCACATACTTGAATTGCTGGGGGCAGTGTGGAGGGGTGGGCAGCATGCACTGGGTGCTGTTATGCTGAGACTACTAAAGTCATGAGTAGTTTTAACTGGGCTTGATGACCCATGCCTGTAGTCCCAGCATTCGGGAGGCTGAAGCAGGAAGATCCTTTCGAGTTTGAGGCCAGCCTAGGTGATTTAGTGACTTCAAGGCCAGCCTGAATTGCATAGCAAGACCATGTCTCAAAAAGTCAAAATAAACAAAAGTCATGAGTAGTTTTGGGAGAGAGAAGAAAAGAGCAAAGGAGAAAATGTAAAGATTTCCAGGCTTCATGGTTCAAAACTGTTAAAAGCTGAGCTTTTCTTTTTCATCAGAGATTCAAGATATAACCTAGAAAACCACAAATCAAATATATTGGGGGAAATTGTGTTCATTTAAACATGTATGGGCTTTTTTTTTTTCTTGTCCTTTTGAGACAGGGTCTTGCTATGCAGTTCAGGCTGGCCTTGAGCTCACTTTGTAGCCTAGACTGGTCTCCGACTCGTATGATCCTCCTGCCTCAGCTTCCTGAATGCTGGGATTACAGGTGTGTGCACCACACCTGGCCGGGCTTTTTTCTTATCCCATAAGCTGTAGCTGTGCAGCCTTTGGCTTGCCAGGCCATGTTGAAGAGGAATTGTCTTGGGCTGCATGTAGAATATGCAACATAATTCACGTATAGCAGTAATAAAGCTTCCTTTTAAATTTTTTATTTATACCATTAAAAGAGGGCAGCGTGTACTTCACTGCGGGGCACTGCAGCACCCCTGCACTGTCGTCTGCACAGTCTGCACTCCAGACCATTCGACGAGCCATGGAAGAGAGCGCCACAAACCTGCTGAGAGCCCCATGACGATGTTTATCACGCATTTGTCACCCTCTGCTGGTGCTGGGCCTGTCTTGCTATAGGCAGTGGAGCATTTAGTTGTGCGCGGCATTAGAAGTATGTTAGCCATGATCTGAAGTGTGTGGCAGGTTGTGCATAGGTCCTAGGCAGGTGTGATGCCATCTACTTCAGGGGACTTGCTTGCCGGTGGCTTTGGTGTCCTCAGGAGGGAAGCCGCCTCCTGGAGGTAGAGCAGAGCCGCCGTTTGCTCTTGTGGTCCAGGAAATGGACACAGTCCTGCCTCCTGGGCAGGTCAGTGACAGCATCATGCGAGTCATAGGGCTAAGCATCAGGCACCAGGAAATGCACAGAAGTCTAGGCAGCAAGACAGGACCCTCTGCAGTCCTGCCTCAGCAGCTGTGGTGGCCCTGTCGCTGTGGGCGATCAGGGGAGCTGACTGAGGGGTGGGTGCCTTCTGGCCAGGGGCGGGGTGAGCTGGCACACACCTGTAATCCCAGCACTCAGGAGGCTGTAGCAGGAGGATTGCCACAAGTTTGAGGCCAGTGTGGGCTACATAGCGAGGTCGTGTCTCAAAAAACTAAAAGAAACTAAAAGAAAAAAACTGAAAAAAAAAAAAAAAAGACTGTCAGGGCATCCCAGATTAAAAAAAAAAAAAAAAAAGACTGTCAGGGCATCCCAGATTTTGTGATGACAGCCTTTGAGTCACCCTTGTCCCTGCTGTGCGGTCCACTCTGTGCCTGAGACTCGGTGGTGGCCCTGGCCCTCCTGCCACCTCCCCTGTGTGTTTGAGCTTCTCTTCCTAGCGTCCGTCTTGTCCTGTTCAGGTGTCCTCCCTGGCTTTCATGGGGCACATCCCTGCGACTTGCCAGGGGAGCTGGCTGGGCACAGGGCGAGGAGGGCCTGTCTGGGAAAGCAGCAGAGGCGCAAAGCAGGTGGAGCGGAGCCAGGCGCGGTGGCAGTGCCTCCTTGTCCTGCTCATGGCTGATCACTGTCCCAGGAAGAGGGACCTCAGTGGGGACCTCCTTGCTATCCAGGGGCCAAGGGGCTGAGTGACGCCTTGCTGGAGGTGCTGAGAGGGCAGTCGCCTGCCCCAGCGTCCACACAGGGCTCTGCTGCGGCGCGCGCTTCCCAGTTGGCAGGGCTCTGTGGTGTGGACCGTGCTGGCTCTGGCCAGCCCCAGCCCTCCCGCGTGCGGTGAGTTCCTCGCAGGTGTTTCTTCTCTGGATCTCTTTTCGTATGTGCTCACCTTTTAGCTCTGCTCCTGTAGTTAGAGTAGGGCTTTGCTAGGTGATAGAATTGGAGGCACTGTTTGTGTCCCCTCTCCCCGGCCTTCAGTGGGGTCCGTTCGGTTACACAGGGCGAATTCTGGCTTCCCAGGCTAAGATTCCTAGGTGTTCACAGCTCGCATTCCCCGTCAGGCAGCGACTTAGGACTTTTGAAATGAAGTGATTGACCTGCCAGTCAGAATTTAACCTTCTGTCATTTTTCTCATTATTTCCTTAACCCAAGATTTAGTGCCTTTTTTTTTTTAAAGGTTTTGGATATATGAGAATTTTAAGCTACCTTTGGTCATTGCTTTAATTTCCTCTCTTTTTTCTTTTTCTCTTTTTTGAGACAAGGTCTTGCTTTGTAGTGCAGGCTGGGTTTGAACACACTGTACAGCAAGACTGTCTCAAAAAACCAAAAAAAGACAAAAAGTGCCCATTGTTCTTAGCATTGTCTCCTTCACCCATTAGCGTGCTTAGCATATGAGTCATAGTTATTTTAAATTCCTGGTCCAGTTGTTTCAAAATCTCTGCGGTGTCTGAGCCTGCGTGTAGTTCTGAGGCTTCTTGTTGCTTCAAACTGATTTTTTAAAAAAGAGGCGCAAAGCAGAAGTTAAAGCACTCATGCTCATAGGCAGCATGGTGGGGAGGCCGCGCTGTTTCTGCCTCAGCCTAGTCCCTGTCACTGTGAAAGCCGGGCTGGCTTGCAGTGAGGGGACTGCAGTGCAGGGCGAGGGCCTGGGCTGGCGGCATGGGCGGCATGCTGTGGGGCTGAACGCTTAGCCCTGGGACCCGGGACTTGGAGCTTGGCCTGTCTGCTGTTTCTCCCGGGGAGGTGAAAGGACAGATGCCTGCGGGGCTGGAGGGGGCTTCCTTCCCTGAGGGCCGTGGCTCTGAGGAAAGCGTTTCTCCAGACCCAGCAACGCTCCCTTCTGCCTGAGCCGGTTCTGTCCCTTCCCCTGCTAGAAGGACCCTGGAAAAGGAGGGAGGGCGCTGCACTGTGACCCTGGGGAAGGTGTGGGGCTGCCTGATAGGGGCTGAGCCAGTTGTCAGTGACAGTTCAGGTGCTCAGCGGGCCAGAGGGAACTGGTTCTGGTGCTTCTCCAGTGGGGCACCTTTCTCTCTGTCCACTCTGTCTCTCCACTCTGGGCCAGCTCGGAGAAGATATGTTGCCTTTTTGCAGTTTGTTCAGCTTTTTAATTTTTTTTTTAGTTTTTTGAAACAGGGTCTCACTATGCAGTTTAGGTTGGCCATGAGCTCACTTTGTAGCCCAGGATGGTCTTGAACTTGCAACGATCTTCCTGCCTCAGCCTCCCAAGTGCTGGAATTACAGATGTGCACCACCACACCCGGCTGCCATTACCTCTTTTAGCTTGCTTTTCCTTTGGCTTTTTGAAGAAGACCTCGATCCTCCCTAACAGTCACTGCTTGCTTTATTTCTGTTACCATGTGTTTAGTGTTCATTCCTGAGGAAGAGAGGCTCCCTGAAGACTCCTTCCTATCTAGGTTTCCCCTTACCTTGGGGCCTGTTTATTAGGTGTTTTCTTTTGTAACCACCTCACTGTGATGCAATTCATTGACCAACTAATTCGCCATTTAAAGCATATAGCTTGGTGGTTTCTCGTGTATCAGAGTTGCACCCACACAGCTTCCGAGCACTTCCTAACTCAGAAGCCCAAGCCAGTATGTGCGCAGTGCCAGAGCCTGCTGTGCTGGAGCTGGAGGGGGCTTCCTTCCCTGAGGGCAGTGGCTCTGAGGAAAGCATTTCTCCAGACCCAGCAATGCTCCCACCCCTGTGAGTTGACTGCCCTGGGCCTTGCGTGTCGATGGAGTCGTAGATTCTGTGGCCTGTTCTGATCCCCATCTTTCCCTTAGCGTGAGAATGGCATATTTGTCTGTGTTGCAGCACACCTTCATGCTTGCGGGCTTTTTTGCTTACTCCTCCATCCATCCAGGGGCTGCAGAACCCACATTTTTTTGCCCGTGCGTTTGTATGAGACGTGTCTGCCTTTGGCCATTGTCAGGAATGCTGCTTGAGCACTGAGGGGCTTCGTGGATCAGGTGTCGCTCTGTTGAATGCTTGGAAAACTGGCCAGGCTGTCTGTAACGTGGCGGCTCCGTCTGTCCCCACAGCAGTGCGTGGGGAAGGCTGGTTCCTGAGCGGACTGTGCTGTCCTCTCTCTCTCTCTGGTGACAGCCGTCCACCGTGTGTGGGGCAGTCTCACTGTAGCTGGATCTGCATTCCCCGATGACTGTCCCATGCCTTTGAGGCATTCTTGCCTGTTTGTTGATTACCCTGCCTTCCCGGAGCAGCTGCTTGGGTGCCCGTCCTTTCTCCGCTCTCGCTCATTTACGTGGCTTGATTTTTCCTGTGTGCTCATCCCCGTCCCTTCTTCTTCCTTCACCTGTTGCACACTCCTAGGGGAGTGCTCGCGCCTGGCTGTGACGCTCACATGAGTTAGGTCAGATGCAGGGCTGTGGGCCCACCCCCTTCCAGTGCCCCTGTGATGCCAGCCCTGGCACTGCCTTTCCTCCTGCTGTCACTGCCGGTGACAGGGCTCAGCTGCCACAGGGGTGTCCCCTCACCTGCGTGCACTCAGCGGCTACATTGTCTGTCGGTTCCCAGAGAAGTGCCTGGTCCCGGAAGCTGCCGCCCAAGCCCCCCAGCTTCTCCCAGCATTGTGCTCGTCTTCTTGTCCCTGCTGGGAAGGGAACTAGCAGCCCGCTCGCCTCTCCCTGTTTGTGCCCATCCACTCTCCATTCAGCGAATGCAGATTGTTCTTTAGTCCGTGCCAAGCTCTCTCATGCTGGGAAAGTCCCTGCCCTCCTGGAGCTGGCCCCTTGGGAGGGAGATGGCAGCAATAGCTCACTGTGCCCAGGTCTCCTCGCCCGGTGCGCTCTGGGCTGGGCAGTGTGCTGCTCTGAGGGTCGCTCTTGACCGACTCCGGGTCAGCCAGGAGGAGCAGGCTGGTTCAGGCTCAGCACTGAGGGCCGCAGCGAGGCTGGTGTGGGTGGTTGGGACACTGTAGTGGCAGAGGAATGGGGTGGCAGGGCCTGGGCCTACAGGACCCTGCAAGTCCCAGAGGAGCCATGGAGGAGTCAGGGCCCGCAGAGCAGATGTGTGTATGTATGTATTTTATTATTTCTTTTGGGTTTTGATATAGGGTCTCACTGTGTATATGTAGCCTAGGTTGGCCTCAGACTTACAGCGATCCTCCTGC